TCCATTCTTCCTTTTTATGGTAAGCCTCCAACTATCGATGAATTTCGGTCCCAAGCTAAAATATATCGAGAAAGACGCTGGGCTGTTCGCCCAAGAACTGCGGCTTTTCTTGTAACAACTGATATCATTTGTGTAGTCTTAGCAACTGGAAACGTTAGTCCGTCTCAACAGGTATCTGCGCATTTTCGTTTTACACATAGCTCATTATTTATGCCGTTGTTAACCCTCTGAAAACCTTTCATTGTCTCTTTAAAGAATACCCTTCCAGGATAAAATCCTGGAAAAAGGAAAATCCTTTTTTCCTATGACAGTCTTAATCAAAATTATTGGAGTATTTAGTGGTCAATGGAGTCTCCTAAGCTAAGGGCTGCATGCCCTACAAAAGTGTGCCTGAATATTTTAGGGGGACCAATTCAGTGAGCACTGCTACCTCACCCGGGAACAGAGTGATTATCGTACAGATCACGGAAGGTCATCAGGTAGGAGACTAGGGGCTATGGTGGCGCAGATCGATGTACAGAGTTAGTATCCTTTCGTCACCATTCCAAACTTTGATCAACGAGCAATGCTCAGTTTGACTGAGTCCAGCAAAAGTGCAAGTTTTGACCTTAAAGGTGAAGGAATCTAATTTTAACGTCTTCGATTGCAAAAAAGGACTACGTTCTAGAAGGAAGCCTACTCCTTATCGACCACAGGCTTGTGAAGCAGGGTTAGATTATATTGGCGTCGTACGACTGTCTCTAGATGTCTAAGGTAAGTAACCAAGAAAATGGCGCTATTAAACTGGACAGTGTATATGAGGACTACGTAGGATCCAAAGAGGAGAAGGAGGTTCTGAAATGCATGACATTCCCGTCGCAGTTTCCGTACCTTAAGCTCGCAGAACCCTTTTGGATGTCTCGTTTGACTTGTGGTCGTCCGGTGTTGTCCAACTCGTGGAGCTGGAAATAGTAATGTCTCTAGTAAGTGTAGAGTAGCTGGCCTGCCTCATAAAATGTTGACCAAACCCCTGAAAGATGTTTTTAATTGGGGTTGTAAGGTTGAGTACAATGTAGCGTAACCCCAAGGTACTTCAACCACGCCTAGATGCCGACTTTTAAATAAGCTTTTTTCTGGCGGCTTGTAAAAACCACACTCCGTTAAAATGACAAATTACGTAGCATGGAGTTTTCCTGTCGATTTTCGATGCCCTTATAAATTGAAATATATTTTACGGGAAACACGCCCAGAGCTACGTTCTTATGCTCATTCGGTAGCGAATTACGTCTTCTTCCAGGCATTCTTAGGTTTTAAAAACTTCGATTTCCGAATAATTTTGGACCTAACCTGCAGATGCACTTGCGCTTGAGGCGCTCTAATTGAATGCCGTATACTTTCCGTGTAAGACTTCTTATGGGACTCATAACATTTTGCAACGAGTGTGGACCGTTTTGTATACTTCACAAGCAACATTAATAGACGGTCAGGTGCGACGCTGTGTATATAAACATTTAACAGTCTTAAAAATCTGGCAATCGCAAACTTTTCTGAACCGAAAGATACTCCTTCAAATATAGGATTTGAAGACGTAATTTGCTACGAAATGAGCTCAAAAAGGATATCTTCGTGCATGTTTTCTACAAAATATATTTGAATTAATGAGGTTGTCGTGTTTGGTTTT